ACAATCTAAATGGTGATTACATCTAGATGGAAAGATAAGGTAATCTAGATCAAAACGGAGAGAGAAATAACAAATCAAAGTCCATAAGTGCTACTGTAGCAACGTCTGAGTATGCCGGAAGAATTCCACAGCCAAACTATCTGCGGTTGTATTAATTTCAATAATAAACTCAACCTACCACTAATTGAAGAAAAAAAACAGTTGTTTTTAACAAAAACATCCATCAAAGTAATTAAATCAAGTGACAAAACCTAATTAAAAAATGTGATGTATTATTAGAAAAGAACTAAATATAAAATCAAGCGAATAACTAATTATATACCATGGCAGTCACTAGATGCCAGTCCCAAGCATCAATAACCGGTCCAACCTATATGCCCATAAGCAATGAAACATCAAGCTACAAAAACACATAATGAAAAATGTTACCAAAAAAAAAAAAAGATTAAAACAATAATAATCAGACAATATAAATGATCCTATTTTTTGACATGAAATAGATGAACAAAATTAATTTAAATCTCATCCTAATGACAATATAAAATGAAAATTTAAATCAATGACAAAATTGAATTAAAAAATGTAGTGCACTATCATAAGGCACTCGAAAATAAACTAAGAGAACAACTAATCAAATACTATTACCGTAATTGGCGTCAATAGCAGTCACCGTGACTGCCTTGTCCCAACCATTGATAACCAGTCCAGCCTCATTACTCATATGCACCAAAGCATCACCCTACAAAACACCTGCCCAAAAAAAGTTACAAAAACAACCAAATAAAAAATTAGTTAAATAAATAAAAATAAAATAATCAAACAAGACAAAAAAGAAGTGGCAATTTGTAGGTTAAGGAAATTGGTGAGTTTGGTAGAGTAAATCCAATATGAAAAAGTAAATTGGATTCCAACATAACAAATGATGAAAAAAACAAAAGAACACGGGGAAAGGAACAGTATAAAAACAATTCAAGTATGCAAAAAATGCTAAATATTAAATAAATTGTAAACATGAAGATAATGGTCCAAAAACTTGTAATCCGGGATGCTCAGAAGCATGCATTGCAAGAACTTTTGCTTAAGATGAGAGATGTAAGGTTCACCACTTTCGGCAAGTTGACAGAGAAAGAATTAGAGAAATTTTACAGGTCAGAAATTTGCCCTAACCCAAAGAGTTGGGTTGCGTGGTGACAATGGAAAAGAGAGAGGTGTTAGTTTAGAGAGATAAATATGGAAGAGAAAGAGACGCCTTAGTGAGATAGCCATGGAAGAGGGAGAGGTGAGAGAAAAACATGGGAAATGGGATAGATGATGAGATTAATCGGTTTGGAAGAGTTGTCCATTTAAAATATTAAGTTATTCAAAAAATTAAAGATATTTCGTTAAATATGGCTAAAATTGTGTTTAAATTTTGTTTTAAGGGTAAAATAGTTAAACAAAAGTTTTTGACTTTTGTTGACATTTTATATTAGTATAGATATGCAGAGAGGTTGTCTCCATTTCTCGAATCCTTGAAGCCCAAGCCACAAATGGAATCACCTTGTCGATGCGCCAAGATTGTTAGGGATTGCCTTTGAAAATTATATCCATTTATTGAGGTATAATTGATATGTACCCTCTTGCATTTTAGTGATTAAATTGATTAGTTCTCTTTAATCTTCAAGGTTATGAGAGACATTATTGGGTTGTCTGAATTCCATAAGTTAAAGTGTGAGTTATGCCAATATTAGTTATTTTACTGTTTGAGTATTTTCAAATATCAACTCACCCACTCGTAGTTCATATACCCTTTTGAAAGAATACTCTTGCTTCAAAATAATTTATTGACAACCTCAAAAATTGATTGCATTAGAGAATTTTGTTCCCCAAAAGCTAGAATCAAAATTTCATTTTGGTGCGTTATTTCGGTTCCTTGGGAAACAATAGTGTTTTGGAAATATTTCGAAAATAAAATGTGGGAAAGGGGAAGATTCGATGTTTCTTCCCTCATGATTATATATGTCGAATTACTAAACAACCTAGAAGGGGGTTAATAGGTTAATTAAAAACTAAGGTTTGAATAATCACCAATTTTAACTAATTAATAAATTAATCAATTAGTCCTTTGAACCCTTTTTTACTCGCAAGAACAATCCAACATATGAATGAATGGATGAGTAATATATGAAATCGATTAAATCACCAATCCATTCACTCACCCCTTAGATCCCATCAATAGGCCAACAATCATCAATCAATGAATGTCAAATAGAGATTCATTCACCCTTTAGATTCCATCAATCTACAAAACTCAATCAATGAATATGTCAAATAGAAATTTTAAACAATCATCCATTGAACCCATTGCGCATTTGTGTGTGCTATTGTAAGTTTATGAAAAACAAAGCAATAAAAGTTATCTATAACACAAGCAATTTGTTGATGCGGAAACCTTTCACGGAAAAAATCGCAAAATTGATTTCGATTCACCTAGAGCTTAATCTACTAAACTCAAAGTCAATTTACAAGTACTCGAGACATATACTTCAACAATACCACGGTTAGATACTCATTCTCTCCACAAATCTCTCCTCCGAATATGACTCACCAAAGTTATAAGCAGTTTCACTTGAACACATCCATCGCAATGAAATGTCTAGGCCCCTCAAACAATCTTCTAAGGCTTCTACTAACCCAAGGCTCTCGGTATGTATACACCAATGTGGGTTTTGTTGATCATCAAACTAGTCTTCTTCTCTAATATGTGAAGTTGAATAAGAAGGATCAAGATGATTTTTCTTTTTGAATATTAGGGATTTAGGGTTATTCTTAAAGCTCTCTAGAAAGGTTTTGGTCTATTCTAGGTCATAGAGACCTACCCTAGCATTGGAAGGCTTATCTTTTATATAGAGGTCTAGAATTAGGTTTGTCTTAGGGTCCAAGTAAACACAAATTCGTGAATCACCACTCGAATAGTTAGAGAGCGATTGTCATTGGAATGAAAAAATAGTTCAAACTAGATCTGACTAGTAGGGAATGGTTGAGCCGTCTTGGGNATTTTGGTGCGTTATTTCGGTTCCTTGGGAAACAATAGTGTTTTGGAAATATTTCGAAAATAAAATGTGGGAAAGGGGAAGATTCGATGTTTCTTCCCTCATGATTATATATGTCGAATTACTAAACAACCTAGAAGGGGGTTAATAGGTTAATTAAAAACTAAGGTTTGAATAATCACCAATTTTAACTAATTAATAAATTAATCAATTAGTCCTTTGAACCCTTTTTTACTCGCAAGAACAATCCAACATATGAATGAATGGATGAGTAATATATGAAATCGATTAAATCACCAATCCATTCACTCACCCCTTAGATCCCATCAATAGGCCAACAATCATCAATCAATGAATGTCAAATAGAGATTCATTCACCCTTTAGATTCCATCAATCTACAAAACTCAATCAATGAATATGTCAAATAGAAATTTTAAACAATCATCCATTGAACCCATTGCGCATTTGTGTGTGCTATTGTAAGTTTATGAAAAACAAAGCAATAAAAGTTATCTATAACACAAGCAATTTGTTGATGCGGAAACCTTTCACGGAAAAAATCGCAAAATTGATTTCGATTCACCTAGAGCTTAATCTACTAAACTCAAAGTCAATTTACAAGTACTCGAGACATATACTTCAACAATACCACGGTTAGATACTCATTCTCTCCACAAATCTCTCCTCCGAATATGACTCACCAAAGTTATAAGCAGTTTCACTTGAACACATCCATCGCAATGAAATGTCTAGGCCCCTCAAACAATCTTCTAAGGCTTCTACTAACCCAAGGCTCTCGGTATGTATACACCAATGTGGGTTTTGTTGATCATCAAACTAGTCTTCTTCTCTAATATGTGAAGTTGAATAAGAAGGATCAAGATGATTTTTCTTTTTGAATATTAGGGATTTAGGGTTATTCTTAAAGCTCTCTAGAAAGGTTTTGGTCTATTCTAGGTCATAGAGACCTACCCTAGCATTGGAAGGCTTATCTTTTATATAGAGGTCTAGAATTAGGTTTGTCTTAGGGTCCAAGTAAACACAAATTCGTGAATCACCACTCGAATAGTTAGAGAGCGATTGTCATTGGAATGAAAAAATAGTTCAAACTAGATCTGACTAGTAGGGAATGGTTGAGCCGTCTTGGGACTGTTTGAGCTGTCTCAAGACCGCTCGAGGGGCCTGGGAGCGGCCTCTATTGTCGAACTCGTTAGCGTTTCACGATTTTTATCTCTTAGTGTTTAGAGATCGCTCAATGCCGAAGGCAAGCGAGCAAAGGACCCTCCCTATTGGTTTTTAAGCTAGAAACCCAACAAAAACTTGTCCTATTGACGCTAAAGGGTTTTATTCAAATATGATGCAATACATGACTCATTCAATGTTTTAAAAACATGTTTAAGGTTACATGTTTTCTCTCTAGCCTCTTAGCTTGCATTAATAAATGTCGTTTCTAATTACCAAAACTGCAAGTATCAAAACCTCTTCGGTACCACATTAAAAGGGCATCCCCTCTTATTTGATTGGATAGAAAAACTAGAAAACCACCTTGCCTAGTGAGCACAATAGACTCACTAGAAGCTCAAAGACATGCGAATTGTTCTCAGCAAAAGGAAGGGAGAGATAACTTGCCATAACATAAAAAATTACTTGATTAAAAAGAAAGAAGTAGGAAATTACAGCCGTAAAAGAAAAAAGAAAAACCTAGTCTACTTTCTCGAATAGAAGGCTCTCCTCTACCAAGACCTTCGTAAGAGGTTCTGTCTTAACCTAAACTTGATCTGGTCTTTAGGACCCCCTATCGCCTAGTTGGTAGCCTCATCGCGAGCCTCTTTTTCCTTTTCTCCTTCCTCCACAATGATCGAGGTAGGATCATCCTCAAATTGGATATTTTAGAAGTTAAGCTTTGGAAATGCACGCATGGTTCGAGCTTTGAGGTCCTCAAAATTGCTATCATAATACTCGAGTGTCTACTTCTTAAAGTCAAATGAGTCCTTGTACTCCTTCACAACCACATCTGTAGCAGCCTTGACAATCTCGGCATGCTTGGACTCTTTCTTTTCCAAAACACTAGAGAGCTCGGAATCCTTCTTCATCAAAGCAAAAGAGAGCTCGAAGACTTTAAGGCAAAGGGCCTCCTCTTCTACTGCTTTCTCTAACTAGAAAGAAATNTCTTTTCCAAAACACTAGAGAGCTCGGAATCCTTCTTCATCAAAGCAAAAGAGAGCTTGAAGACTTTAAGGCAAAGGGCCTCCTCTTCTACTGCTTTCTCTAACTAGAAAGAAATGTCTGAATCAGCACTCTCAGAAGCAACGAGCTTCAACTCCAAATCCTTCTCATTGTCTAAGAACCTATTCCTATCTTCCATTGTTTCGTTCAAATGAAGTGCTATCTTCTCTTTCTCCTTCAGCTCTTGGAGGACCTTGTTTTGGGAAGTCACCAAGTCATTTTGCAACTTCAATATCTTCTTTTCAAAGTGAAGGAATTCTTCTTCACAAAACTTTCTCTCAGCTGCGGTCGTATAAGAGACGTTGGTGGAAAGAATGGCCAACTATAAAAATAAGGGGATGACAAGCATGCTGCTCATGTGGGGAGGCTACGTAAAGAAGAAAAAGGAAGGGAGAAGAGACTGAAAGAAGTTTCACCTTCCTTATGGTCTCTTGGAGAACAGCTACAACCCAGTGTGGACTTCACTATCGTCAACAAATTTAAGGATAGCCTCCTCTTCGTTCTTCCATATCAAAGGCCTAGACTCTGTAGGGGCATGCTTCTCTATAGTCTCAGTTTTTGAAAGCTTCCTCTTCCCCTTGGCTTTGGAAAGTGGGGGTGACAAGCAGCAAAGGTACCTTGGGAATAGGTGGTTCTTTCTTGTAGACGCTGACGAGGCCCAATCCTTCATCTCCGACATCCTTGGAGCTTGGAGAAATTGATGGAAGCACCAAAAGGAGCGTTAGATGGGATGTCAAAGCTCGGAAGATAGTAGGAGGGGTTGGAGGGCTGGAGTCTTTGGCTTAGAGGTAGCTAGCCTTGGCTTTTTATGATGAGGTGAACCATTTCCCGGCTCTCTAGTGGCTTTAATCTCCTTTAACAGTTTCTTGTCAACAACTTTGGGAGCCATATCTATAGATACAGAAGTTAGAGCCCAAATTTAAAGAAAAAGAACAAATATAGAAGTTTACCACTTGGAGGGGAAGGGCTAGATGTACAGGGCACAACAACAGTTTTGGGGCAGGACCTAGCTGGCACTCGAACAAGGCTTGATTGGTGACAAGGTTAGGCAAGCTCTTGGTATGGCAGGCCAAAACTCTCTCAACTTGAAGCTTGAGTTCGGTAGGAAAAGGACCAAATTTACGTGTACCAAATAAATATATTAGGACAGAGTCACCAAGGGAAGAAATAAAGAAAAGAAAATAGTAACTTACCAAGAGAAGGGGTGGAGATCCCCTTCTTGAGATTCTAAAAGAGGTATGCCAGATAGTGCCTTAAAGGGGCCGAACTCCCAATTAGACCTAGACATGAAGAAAAATTTGTCCATCCATAACTTAACATTGGAGGAATAGCTGGTAAGGAGCTCATTATTCTCGCTTTTTGAAAGGTAGAACAACCATTTGCTCTACCTAGAGTAGGTTGTAAGCTTGTAGCAATGGAAAAGTTCTACTATGGGAAAGTTCTTGCCTAGAAAACGCCAATACCAACTAGAAACTCCCAACTGGTCGGAGTTAACTGAGAAGGGGCAAGATTCAGGTAGTGGAGAGCTTCCTTGATATATTGAGGTATAGCGACTTGAAAACCACTCTCAAAAAGCAATTTGTAAAAACAAACTTTGATGGGTTTAAAGGAGTCTGCAGTTTCTTCTAAGGAAGGAACTCGAAGGTGAGCAGAGTGGGGAATCTAGTAGAGCTCCCTAATGTTATCTAAGGCTTTTTCGTCAAGAGAACTCNAAAGGAGTCTGCAGTTTCTTCTAAGGAAGGAACTCGAAGGTGAGCAGAGTGGGGAATTTAGTAGAGCTCCCTAATGTTATCTAAGGCTTTTTCGTCAAGAGAACTCTAGAATTGCTTTGCCCCCACAATAGTAATAGATGAAGTAACAATCTTCAGAATGAAGTCAGATTCCTCATTGGCCATATTGGCCTCAAGAACAAGAGATGGAGTGTTCTTAGAAAAGGTTTGCTTCGAATCGCTCATAGGCAACAATGATGGATGTACAAATTAGGAGGAGGAAGACAAGTGGAACTATGAGAAAGAAGAGACAAGCAAGAATCAATGATAAATTTGAGCCGAGTCTGAGAGAGTTGATCAACGAAGAGGTTTAGGCGATCAAGGTCATAAGACTCATAACCTTTCAACTTAAAAAAATAGAAAATGTAGACGTGGAATTGAAAGGTGTGGTTCCAATATAAATACTCCACCTTGAAGAGTTCAAACAAAACAAGAAGAAAACAAGAAGACCAAGATTAAGGAAGAGAGGCGTACCCGGGCTCTTGGATGTGTTCTTGAAGCACGCTGGACTTTGACAATGAAATGTGTGTAAATACTAGCTGCACAATGGCTCTTTGGTGGTTACATTTACACGAGCTATGATGCCACTCTACCATGCACTAATGGCCACGAACCGACTTATTTAATGCGGACCATGTGCAGGTCAAGTTGAGTTAAATTGGGGGCAACAATTAAAAGGGAAAAAGGCACGTACTTGGAATGCTGAGTTCGATAGCTCAGGNTAATGCGGACCATGTGCAGGTCAAGTTGAGTTAAATTGGGGGCAACAATTAAAAGGGGAAAAGGCACGTACTTGGATTGCTGAGTTCGATAGCTCAGACTAACTCCAATTTGCCATCCCCCCAACCCTTGAGCTCGGCTGAGTCCTGGCCAACAAGAACTTTGACTAGTTCAACTCAATTACCACTTTCACTTAGTCAGCAAGACTGAGTCAACCAAGGGGAGCACAACTGACTCAGTTCAAATAGGCGGAGTAAGATTTGCTAATGGCCTAACCAAATGACCTATAAAAGGGGAGTCCATGGAGGTAAGTGAATCCAACACCAGTACGAGCTTTCCGAGCCATTTCAATTCTCTCTCTCTAACTTAGCCATTGGATAGTCGACCCCTAAAGCCCCTCTAGTCTTTGACTTGTTCTTGCAGGGCGTTGGAGGCACGAATCTAAGTGGTTGAGACGTGTGAAGCTCGGCGAACGATTTCCACCACCATTACTAACAATATATTTTGTCTTTCTAGAGTTAGTAATTCCTTGACAATATGGTGTCACGGTAATAGATGATGCTGAATATGCATTTTTACCATTTTGCTTGTTTTGTTGATTATGGTAGTGGTCTCTTGTTCACTCTTCTTTGTTACATTGTATAATTGTCATCATCATTATCACTCTTATAATTTATTTTCCAACTTGCCTATCTCGGGCATATTGCTTTGATGGGAATAATTAGTATGATATGCTCAATTTTCACAAAAATGGTAGCTCATCTTTCCAGATGTACTTTGGTAAAATAACGAGTTCCGTGATAATGGACTTGCCTTGACAATATCTTTCTTTCTTTAATGGTATGGTTAGCCTTATTGCCTTTCCTTTTGATTAGCACCTGCTTCCTGTGATATTCATTGGTGATATGCTTCTGTGACAGGAGATGAGGAAGTATAAATTTCTAGCATCTTGCTTGAATCACTGTTTACACCAAATAATCTCTTATTTCTTTACTCATTACTCAATCTTAAAATATTTTCCTGCCAATTATTTTAAATATTTTTCTGCACATAATGGGCAGATTGCTGTGATGGGAGTGATGAGTATGATGGTATGATAAACTGCCCAAATACATGTTGGGAGGCTGGAAAAGTAGCTAGAGATAAGTTGCAGAAGAAAATAGCAACATATCAGGAAGGTGTCACTGTACGAAGGCTGAAAGTTGAAGAAGCGAAGTTAGCTATAGCAAAAGATGAGGCGGAATTGACAAAGTTCAAAAATGAGGAGAAAATACTTAAGGGACTGGTTCAACAGCTTAGGGGTATCTTTCTCTTCTTTCCAGTAAATTCTATTATTGTTGTCATGTTACCATTGCATGATTTTGTCCAGTATGTAAGTTGACTGCAGCTTCCACTTTCACTATGTGATTTTCTTTTCCAAAATAGATATGCTTGGAAATTCAGTGATTTTGTGAATAGGTCTACTGTATTACTCCAAGTTCAGCAGATTTAAAGGTCCCAGGCCATGGCAAAAATTAAACAGAATCTAGATTTTACAACTACCTGCAAGGCAATCTTCATTGAAGTAATCTCTAGTTTGGAGCTAATCACATCATATAGGAAGTTGGACAAAGTGAAATTGCTAGGTAACCATTTGTACTTTGAGGTGTCAAGGAGCTTTCCCTTCAATATTCTTCTTTCACTTGGTTTAACCTTGGAATAAATTCTTTGTTTTTACCTTCATAAATCTTTGTCCAAGGTGGAAGTGAACACTTGCTCATGTCATGTAAGAATCCCTTCGTTGCTTCACACTTGATGGTTGACCACTGTAGGAGTCTATACTTCTTGTGGTTGGGGTGACGGGGACACGATTACAATGGATGACATTCTAATATGGTGAGTAAAGACTCTTTTTGTATTCCTTGAAAATTTATTTCTCAAGGTTTGGAAGATTTTAGAATAATGTACTTTGCGATTGGGAAATGGGGAAAGGGTACGCTTTTGGGAGGACATTTGGATTGTGGTTTGTGATTGTACTTTGCGATTGTGGTTGGGGTGCTTGTCCCTTCAAAAAATAAAACCTCGTAGTTTATTGCCAAGGAACTAAATTTCGTTTCGTTTTGAAACAATTGAAATGTTTCCGTTTTCATGAAAATCGAAACAAATCATTGAATATCAAAATTTCTATATTTCGAGAGGTTTCAACCTATGTTTCAGAATGTTTCGACTAATGTTTTGGAAATAAATTTTTAAATTTTTTTTTATTTCCATCTTATTTCCGAAATACTTTTATTTTCAAGCTCAACGAAACGAAATTTTGATCCTTGTTTACTACTTCCTCCTCTAAGGCCACTTTCTTAAAGTTAAGTATGATCTGAAGTCATGAATTCACGAAGGCATTGCAGCATGTAAAAATGCTTTTGGCTCCCAAGTAAAGAACTTCTCAGTATTCCCGATGTTTTAAATCCAAAATTTTGGGGAGTGAAATTTAATATGATTATAAAATGTTTCATGCTGAGTAGAAATGGAGTTTGTTTTGTTGTGCGGGTAGTTTTTTAGACTCTCTCTTTCCATCCTTGTGCCGTTGCCTAACTATCTCTAATAACTATTTACTTGTATGAATGTGTGAAAAAGAATGAAAAGCTTTAGAAAATAATTTTGGGCTTGGTTAAGAGGAGAGAAACTTTCCATGTACAGGAGTGGGCTGCATTGTTGACCTTGAGCTCTTATGGTGGTCTAACTAGAGGTATCATACCCTTGAGAATTTTTGAGTAGCCTTGGAGGGTTCCCAGAGAGTAGCTAATAGTCTTTGGTATAATACAATCAGCAACTAATGATATCACTCAAATGGTCGGAATTTTTGTTGTTATCCTTAGAATTCCATTACTTGGGTACTAGATCTTGTCCCATCCACATGGATACCTTTGTGAAGGAGACACTAACTGAGATATCTTTTCTTATCTCAAGGGTGACAGGGACACGATTACAATGGATGACATTCTAATATGGTGAGTAAAGACTCTTTTTGTATTCCTTGAAAATTTATTTCTCAAGGTTTGGAAGATTTTAGAATAATGTACTTTGCGATTGGGAAATGGGGAAAGGGTACGCTTTTGGGAGGACATTTGGATTGGTGGGACATCTTTCATTTTACTATTTCCTCAACATTATAGGTTGGCGGGTTCTCATAAGATTCTTGGGGCGTGTGTGTTTTGTTCTTCTCTATCTTCCATTGGGGGTGGAATTTCACTTTTTCTCGTAATGTAAAAGACCGGTATACCTTGAAGTGTTGAGTAGCTCTTTTTGAATTTGCTGGTTTAGTGATATAAGGTTTCGGTCTCTTTATTCCTCTGGGAATTTTGATTGGTGCTCCTATTTCCAATGTTTGATTGATGATCCCGATGAATCTGTATTTGAACCTCACTTAATGATTTGGAAGATAAGAATGCTTATTAAGGTGCATGTGCTTACTTGGGCAATAGCTCATACTAAGGTGAATACTTGTGATTTGTTGCAAAATAAAAGGCCTAACACTTCTATTTCACCACACTAGTGTGTTCTGTAAGGAATGTTATGAGAGTATCAATTATTTTTTCCATCATTGCCCTGTTGCTATTCTCCAGTGGCATAAGTTGTGAGAGGTAGATTTGGTGTGGGTCACACCTCGTAATTGCATTTCAATCTTTTGACCTGGTTGGATGGTTTTGGAGTGGCAAAAAATGTATTTTATGGAGATGTTCAGTTTTTTATATTTTTGGGTGTTATGGATGGAGAGGAACCGTAGAATATTTGAATGTATGGAGGAAAAATAATTTTTAAGGGAAAGAGTGAAGTTCTTGACAACTTTTTTCAACGTAATTGGGTAGGCCCTTTTTAAATGGTAGTTTCTTTTATTTATTAGTAATTTTTTCTCTTTTGGGTGGATTTCTTATCTACTAGTTTTTTACATTTGCATCTCTCTATGAAATGAAAGTTTTGTTTCCTTAAAAAAATACTTAATAACATTATACACACACACACACACACACACATATAATAGGAAAATATAATTGAGAGTATTCAAAAGAGTGATCAAACATGTAAATTAATTAATTGCTTATACTATGCAATTGATTATTTGTTTTTCATTTAGAGTAATGCTACATGAACTTGAAATGTTGACTTAATCAATCACTATCATTGATTTAACCGTAGGTCTAAGTATTTATTGGGACCCTCAGCCTATTCAATGGTTGTAATTGATCAAGTCAACAAATCAAGTTAGTATTTTAAGTCTAAGTAGCACGTTCATTTTATTTATGTCTGTTAAGTTTGGAGAATTAACACAATATTAGAGAGAAATAGAGAGTGGTCAAAAACATAACCTAACTCTCATACATCACTTGTATTTATAGTTAACCTACAATAATAAGAATTACACATACACCCTCTTACTATTAATAATTTACACATACTACCCTACTATTCTTAACACTCTCCCTCAAGCTGGACTATATATATCATATAATCCAAGCTTGGAACAAATAATTGTAAGACGTGTACGACTCAATATTTTGGTAAACATATCTGCAAGCTGATCTTCAGATTTCACAAATGGANTATTTATAGTTAACCTACAATAATAAGAATTACACATACACCCTCTTACTATTAATAATTTACACATACTACCCTATTATTCTTAACACTCTCCCTCAAGCTGGACTATATATATCATATAATCCAAGTTTGGAACAAATAATTGTAAGACGTATACGACTCAATATTTTGGTAAACATATCTGCAAGCTGATCTTCAGATTTCACAAATGGAGTTGTAATCTCCTCAGCTACTATCTTGTCCCGAATAAAGTGACAATCAACTTCAATATGTTTGGTTCTCTTGTGAAACACAGGATTGACAGCGATATGGATAGTTGTCTGGTTGTCACAGAACAATTGTAAGGGAAGTTGAATTGAAAACTCAATTTCTTCGAGGAAGTGTAATAGCCAAGTCAACTCACTTTTCGTATGTGCTATTGCCTTATACTCAGCCACGACACTGGATCTTGCTACCACGGGTTGTTTCTTACTTTTCCATGAGACAACATTACCTCTTAAGAAAGTACAATAACTAGTGGTAGATCTCTGATCAGAAGGAGAGCTAGCCCAATCAACATCTGAGAAACCTTCCACTCTAAGATGTCTATTAGCTCGATATAACAGTCCAAGTCCAGGAGCTCGTTTGAGATATCGTAGAATACGAGTAACTGCCTCCCAATGTGGTACTCTAGGACATCCCATAAGCTGACTTACTATACTGACTGCATAGGAAATATTCGATCTGAGTAATAGTGAGATAATTAAGCTTTCCAATCAATCTGCGATACCGACTCGGATTCTCAAACAATTCACCATCATCCATCGATAGTTTTTGATTTGGATCCATAGGAACATCAATTGGTCTACCACCCAGCAAATTTGCTTCCTCAAGCATGCCAAGTACATATTTCCTCTGGGATAAATATATACCTTATTTAGATCGAGCTACTTCAATACCCAAGAAATACTTGGATTTTCTCAAATCTTTAGTATGAAATCGATTCTGTAAGAATATTTTTAACTTGGCAATCCCCTCAGAATCATTTCCAGTAATCACAATATTATCTACATAGACCACCAATAGGACATATCCAACATCTGTCTGTCTATGAAACATAGAATGATCTGTCTGACATCGAAGAAGACCAAACTCTAAAACTGTATCTGAAAACTTACCAAACTATGCCTTCGGTGACTGTTGTAAACTATACAAAATTTTTTTTAACCGACATACACTCTTACCATACTTCCTCTGAGTAGTAAACCAAGGTGGCTGCTCCATGTATACCTCTTCAACCAAGTCACCATGTAAGAAGATATTCTTGATGTCTAACTGAAACAAGGGCCAACCAAGATTAGCAGCCAAATAAATCAAGATACGAACATAGAAAATTTTGGCAACAGGAGAAAAAGTCTTCTCATAATCAACACCATAAGTCTGAGTAAAGTCCTTTGCAACAAGTCGGGCTTTGAGACGCTCCACAGAACCATCTGGATGAAATTTAACAGTATGCACCCAACGACAGCCCACAGTTCGTTTATCAGAAGGTAAAAGAACGAGATCCTAAGTCCCATTATGATGTAAAACATCCATCTCCTCCTCCATAACTTTCCTCCAACTCAAATCAGATAATGCATCCTGTGAATGCTTAGGAGTAGATATAACATATAATTGGGAAGTAAAACAAGAGAAGATAAGAGACAAGACATCATATGAAACAAAATGAGAAATGAGATGATTAGTAACACACGAACGAGTGCCTTTGCGAAGAGCAATAAGTAAAGAGTCTAAATTACCTGATGTACTAGGATCAGAAGGAGGCAAGGAAGATGGTACGGGCACCTCAGTTGATGAGCGAGAACGGCGAGAATAGACACGGAGAGGTAACGTAGATGGTAACATAGTGGGCAGCGGACTATTTGAAGATGAAGATGAAGAAAGAAATGGTGGTACAGGAGGGGATCCAAAGTCCAGATTCAAAGGCTGAGATGGTGCTGGAAAGTATGGAACAGACTCTTCAAACGAGACATCGGTACTAGTAAAGTATCGGTGCAGAGAAGGACTATAGCAATGATACCCAGGGTCAAGTTTATCAAACCTAGGCTCCAAATTGTGAACATAACAGGCACAATCAAAAACCTTAGGAATCGGGAAAAATAAAGGCTTACCGAAAAAAAGAACAGAATATAGACTTTGCCTATTTAATATAGAGAATGACATACAATTGATAAGATGACAAGCAGTAAGAACAACATCACTCCAATAATATCGAAGAATATTCATCTGGAATAACAGAGTACGGGTGACTTCCAACA